GTGTCTCATTGATTTGTAGAGATAGAGGTCAGAGTCCAGGGAGGCTGGAGTTTGTGAAACAGATTTTTCCCAAAGAACAAGTTTCAGAAATCTACAGAGGAATACTCTTGAGTTTTTGGTTGAATACTAAGCTGTAGGTGTGTAGGTGTGTAGGGCGTGATTCAATTTACTGGGGAAAGAACACCTACCAGGAACCTGTAAGCTGAGGAATTCCCAGAATGCACACAAGTGCTGGGAAATGTTCAAGTTCAGACCAGCCAGCAAGGAGAGTCCTCACTGAATGTTTGGGGCATTTTTTAGAGACTCCAGAAGGACCACTCCTTAGTAACAGGGCTGAAATATCCCTCAAGACCCTTCTAGATCCTTTTCTCTGCCCTACAAAGCTTTAAAAACACACTTCGAGAGGATCAAGCTGATCCACAATAATTTAGTTGCCTGGAAACATGAAACTCAACAAAGGAAGACCACAAAATCCAGCAACTCAGCAATGTAACAATCACAATGTCTAGCATTCAAAATATTACTAGACATGCAAAGAAGCAGAAAATATGACCTGCAATCAGGAGAATAATCAGTCAATAGAAACAGACCTACAAATGACTGAGATGATGGTGGAGAAGGACTTCTAAAAAGCTATTGTAGCTAAGCACAAGATTTAAAGGAAAATGTGAGCATGAGAAGAGAAATGGAAGATACAAACAAGGACCAAAAGGAATATCTAGAGCTGAAAAATACATGATCAGAAATGAAAAAGTTAATGGGTGGCTTAAAAGGAGACTAAAAGACAAGATCAGTGGATGTAAAGATAAACACTAAAAACCCCAAAAACTCTACGACAGAGAGGAAAAGGCTGGGGAAAAAAAGCTCCAAAACAAACAAAACCAACAAAAACAGAGCCTCAGTGCCAATGTGGTTCAATATCAAGTGGCCTAATATACATGTAATTGAAATTCCAGAAAGGTGGGAGATGCAGAAAAAATATTTAAAGAAATGAAGGTTGAAACATTTCCAAATTTTGAGGAAAGGTATACATCCACAGATCTAAAAAGCTCAGTAAACCCTAAGAAGGATAAAAGAGAACCCCACAATGATCAAATTGTGGAAAGCCAGTGAAAAAGAGAGAAAATTTGAAAGCATGCAAGGAAAAAAGACAAGTTACATTTAGGGAAGAAAAAGATAAGAATGAATCCTAGTCCAAGTTGAGATGTGCTGTAAGTATAAAATGCACTCTGGATTTAGTATAAAAAGTATAGTCTTGTTAGTAATTTTTTAATGTTGATTACCTGTTGAAGTGATACTATTTTGGAGATATTGGGTTAAATAAGATGATTATTAAAACTAATTTCATTCACTTTTTAAAATTAAGGTATCATTGATATACAATCTTATGAAGGTTTCACATGAACAACACTACAGTCCCCCCTATTATCAAGTCCCCCCACATACCCCAGTGCAGTCATTGTCCATCAGTGTAGTAAGATGCTATAGTGTCACTAGTCTTCTGTGTGCTATACTGCCTTCCCTGTGTCCCCCCTACATTATGTGTGCTAATCCTAATGCCCCTTATTCCCCTTCTCCCTCCCTT